ATTTGCAGTTTATTATTTATCATCCACAAGTGAACTCTTGCGAGCTCTGAGTTAAGAATACATTCAACTTTACCTATGGAATCGCCAGCCGCTAAAATGGTAGTGTCATCCGCATACATAATACATTTAACAGCCTTAGTCGATCTGCATAGATCATTGATAAATATATTAAAAAACAACAACCACAACATCAATATATATATATATATAGCAACAATATATATATATATATATATAGCAACAATATATATATACTTTGTATATATATATATATATACAAAGTATGATATTATGCTATCAGGTGAGCACACATGGATATGCCCAGAATGAGGTTCTATTGTGGAAGTACCCTAGCATGAAACAAGTGGCTCGTCTTACAGGACATACAACCAGAGTTTTGTACTTGGTTGGTTGTTTGTTTGGTTGGTTAGTTGGTTGGTTGGTTTGCTGGTTGGTTGGCTCGCTGCTGTTGGTTAGTATTTTTGCGAGTATGGTGGTTTGTTGATTTTTATGTTAAATGGTATGATCGACACTTTAGCTGTATTTGAGAATTTGTTGTTAGAAATACATTATTTAATTTTTAAAGCGTTGAAAAGCAAGGCATATGTTAGGGCACTGTGATGGTCGGGTGTGGGCTTGGACACCAAAGATATCTTGCCTGCCACGCACATATATGATGCGTTGTTTCGCACGTGTGCTTATGTTTACGTTTTCTAATTAGGAAATTTGATTTCTGTGGTCCCCCAGGAGCTACGCATAGGGCGCTATACAAATTTAAATCTTTCTTCCCTTTTTTTCTTGGTTTAAAAATATTTAAAAAGACATTCTTCTGCACTTTATTTTTATTTATAACAATAACAATTGCAGTTTACACTGATTTATAGATTTTGTTAAGCATGATTGTAACTAACAAATGATGCTGTCAATGTGTCATGAATATTCATACATCGTTGCTGCAGCGGTTCTCCAGCATCATTTATTAATGTTCTGAATATTTTTGTTTTCTACAACTTGATCTCGTAGGTATTAAGCGCACCATTCAACATGTGTTGATTTTTTTGAACAAACACGCAGGCTTTGTCACCAGATGGCGAGTGCATCGTAACAGGAGCTGGAGATGAAACGCTGAGGTTCTGGAGTGTCTTTCCAAAATATAAGACTGATAAAGTAGTTTGCTTGGTTTTATTGGTTTTTTGATGTCGTTGATGTTGATTTTGAGGGTTTTGTGATGTTGTTATTGTTGCTATTGCCGATGTTTGTTTGTTTGTTTGTTAATATGTTTGTTGCTGTTGCTTTATTATTTTGTTATATGAGTAGATTTACATTGTAAACCGAAAACAAAACTAAAACTTTTTTTTGCAAAAGAGATAGGATTTTGCCTGTGAGTTCTAGGTTGGTAATAGAGCCATTATCTAGCGAAATTTTTTCAAACAGCCCGCTTCCGCAACCGCCCACATTCGCAACGCCATTTGTGTGCGCGTTTTGAAAAAAAAATTACTTGCAGCTTTCATGTCTCTAATTATGGTAAGACTGAGACAATTTATTTATATATTTACAGTGTAACTAATCAATTGAATATTTACATTTTTAATAAATCGATATTGATTTTGGAATTACTTTTGTGAACGGCATCTTTTTAACTTCGTTGGGAAGAAAGCTGGATCGCCATTTTTGCGGCATGTTATTTCGGATTGACCCGACCCTGCCAGACGAAACATTTGGCCCCAGTATAACTAACAAAAAATATGTTTTTTGATGCAAGGCTGTTTGCCAGGAATTCTTTTACGGTTATTAAATTATCATCTTCATTATCTATCAATAAATTGTTGTTCATCTATAATTTTGTCTCCATTTTTTAAACTGGCATTTGTGGCATCTTTCAATGAAATCTTTATTCCTAAAAGAGCAATAATAGCTTTCGATAAGCTTTTCAACTAACAGACACAAAGCCAACCTCTAACAAGAAGAACAAATCAAACTTTTCGGAGTCATTGAATGTTGGACGGAATACAGAAAGTTTCAGAAAATTTTAAAAATTGTATTTTACGGTCTGTTTTAAAATTAGATATTTGAAACCGCATCCGCAGCAAACTGTGAAATCCGCGGAGTTCCAAAAATTTTTTTCCGCGAATGCGTTGCGGTAATCGCTGTTTGAAACCGCATTACGTTCGTCCGTAAAGGGCTCTAAAAGATAATGATGATGTTGGTGAAATGTTTAACGTTCAATTAGTTAATAATCGTTAGTACTTATGAAAATATTTGATTTAAAATAACATGATCTGCTTCATTTAGATACACGAATCTCCTTTGAACATGTTTTCATGCGTCCGATGAGTGAACAGTTTTACATCTTCATTTTAACTTTCATCAGGACTCTTGTGTGCGTGCGTGCGTGTGTGTGCGCGTGTAATATGTATATTGTTTCCATTCACTATGCCACCCAAATGTTTTTCCATAACAATATATCACATCGGCTCCGATCGTTTCATAAAGTTTTTATTTTCACCATTATTTAACTTTTCAATTCCATTTAAATATTTCAAGTGTAAGCATTTAAAAGATATAGTATTATTTTCGAACATTTCTGGCCCAGGCACTCCCTCGTTTAGACTTCATTCGAGCTGAGCCCGTGAGGTGCATAATAAGATAAGATAAAAAGGAGGTCGTCGTGCATTGATTATTTTCTATTTGACTTATTTTCGTAAATGTACATTTGTTTTAAATCATTTTATGTCTTTTTTTTATTTTTATAAAACTTTTCAAACATCACATATTGCTTGAATGTAATCATCTGAAAATGTCAAGAGATTAGTTAACTTTCAGGCACAATGATTAAGTATACCTAATTTCCGTTAACGGCTAAAATGACGTACATGTTAATCTGTTATTGACAGCTTTTTGTTGATCTCAGTATAACGTATTTCACCTTGAATATTTCTACTTGAACATTCCAATAAAATTGAAGGGAACAAACTTCATTAAAGTTATCGTGTCTGGATTTTTCGTGTATTCGGTTATCACTTTTTTATGTTACTGAATCTCTGTTCCTATGTATATTGTGATTTAATTATTTTTATATAAGCATTTTTTATACACGAACTTGGAGACACTTGAATTGATGCCGCGAGAACAGTTGAAGATGCTCTTGCATGTACCACAGATTATAATGTAAATTGATGGCTGGGCAATATGTATGTATGTGTGCATCTAACATGTCAATGTATGCAAATGATATATCGATGTGGAAGTTTAATAATTATTTGTGCTTTTAGCCTTGGTGTCTACTATACATTGGCACTCTTTTTATGAAATATTAAAAACTTGTTTCAGAATTTTTAAAATTTGTTTTGAAAACTTGCCTTTTAATTGGAATATCTTAAAAATTCAGTGCCCCATTTAAGTATCATTTAATATCTTAACTAAATATATATGTGACAATCCAACGTTCGTTATCACCTTGACCTTCTGCGATAATGTTGCATATAATAATTAATGTTTGAGTGAGATTTTAATAATTTTCTTGGTATATATATATATATATATATATATATATCAAATAGAATTTCTATTTTTCGAAATATATTTTTAACAAATTCGGTCTTACAATTTCTTAAATACTATTCTGTGGTCATGATGTGTGAAAAAAAGTGCCTTATACACTCTTCCAATATTTACATCAACAGCACTGACTGCGTGTATGGATACGTGCTAACTAAACAATGCATCACCAGAGGCGTCATTTGGAGGGAGGCAGGGTGCCCCCCCCCCCAAGAAATCAAAATTCTAAATTTTTGCTTTACGAAATTATTATGACAAAATTGCAAACACTATAAAATAATTATATAAAATTATATAATTTATTATAATTATATATACAAAATATTGTGCTTTTTGAATTTTTAAATGTCAAGCGCTATACAATTTATTTCATTTGTTCCTACAATAATTCATGTTCTGTTTTAAATTATAAATGTGTTAATTTTAAATTCTTTGTAAAAAGGATATATATAGAATATATAATTTAGTAATTTTAAAAATTTTGAAATTTTTAAAACTTTAAAAATGTATAATTTATTATAATGTTGCACTGACGAGACTAGGTAGTGGAAATAGTACTATATGCATACATGTAGATAATGATATCTTTTGTAAATAGGAATTTTGTTAATAGCATTAACAAGTTAAGTTTAGTAGATCGGAGAATTATTCGAAGAATCGAGAAACTATCATATAGATTGAGTACTGTAAGAAACGCCGTGATCTTTATTAATAATATATATATATATATATGTTACATGCTAAGTCATAGACCACATAAGTTCGCCCCCCCCAACCAAAATCTGAAATGACGCCCCTGGGCATCACGAACAAAACATGCGGCAGGCAGGGATTCTTTCGTCACATGTCCTTCGTCTTGCGGTGACTGTACGCAGAACCAGAGGCCGTTATCTACTAGGCCAGCGGTGGGCAAACTTTTTGCTCTTAGGCCGCATTTTACCTTTGAAGGGTCGCATATGTATTTAAATAGCAAATTTTTTCGACCCGGGGGAAAATTTTTTTAAGATTTGTGACTCCTTTTTTTTTGGTCATGATGTCTGGCCGACGACTTTTTTTGGCGAACAAGACCTCGCGGGCCGTAGATTGCCCACCCCTGTACTAGGCCATCAGGATAAACTATAAGATAAGGTTACTAAAATTGAGAAATGAAATCATCCTGAAGAAAATCTGTAAAAGTAGAGAACAGCAATTAATTTTATTTATAATGCGTGATTGAGACTGTTCATTTTTATTGAAAAAGAAATTCAATAAATAATTGCTATTCTGATAAAATGAAAATCAACAGGAGTTGTTATCTTTCTGCCAAGAAAGGATGCATGGCGTTGATTCAAGTTTATGAAGGGTTGCAGGTGTGGCCGGAAAAGGAATGGCGACTTCGAAGTTATCTACATTTTATTTTTCAATATATCTTTCGAACCCAGACGCTCGTTCATTCAAACAAACAACTGAACCCAAATGATACAAATATGCTATAAAATATCAGGCTCGACATGCCCGTTTTCGACGAATTAAAACTAGAAAGCAAGGAATGATCTCTTCTCTTTCTTTGATGCAACGTTTGTGCATGTACGTTTTTTGTGTGCTAAATACATATGCAAAATACGAATGATAAATGCATGATTTAAGCGCACTCGCCGTGCTGTTACGATGAACACTACATTATTACACGCACGTTTTACATTTTCAATATATGAATGTATCATCTTGATACCGTTAGTTGACTTGTTATTTCTGAACTTCAACCCGCCGAAAGAATTAACTGTTAGCATGTGCGTTCAAACAAAATATTTGCAGTCATTTGAAAGTTTTTGGAAAGGTATTGTTTATTTTCCGAAAGACATTTAAATATTCATTTTAAATAATTGTTTGTAGGCATTGCGTGGTGTATTTGATGGTTTTGTATTCATTTCAGGTAGTTTTATACTTGGCTTTCGTGCATGTGTACTGTTTAGCATAATTTTAACAACGAATATTTTTTAGATTTATATCAAGAAATGCCACATAATGATTTTTCAATGGTTAGTCTATGATTTAATTTTAAGATGTTCACCATTATTTGAGTAAGTAACTGTAAAAAAACGATGTTCGACGTTTGAAAGGATCTGCAAAAGCGACGTGTGGTTCTCCTTATACTCATCTTCATGCTGCTCGTCATCCTTATCCATACGAAAACGTTACAGCGATTCTCTTTATTTGAAGAACTGGTTGGAGATACAGAAAATATGATGCAATATCCAGGTCCTTATTATTTTGGTCGGTTATATTTTTTATAATTTATATATTAAAACTTTTAATAACTCTAAATAATATTGAATGGAACAGAACAAAACTTTTAGTGACTAGTTTTTTTTGACACAATATATGTATTTTTTAATTTAAGTAAGTTAAACTCATTCAGAGAACATGGCAGATGTTCAAAAAGAAAGGCAATCAAATGCAAATGAAACATGCAATCAACTGAACTTCAACATTTCTTTGCTGGATATTTTATTCTTCAATGGAAGTAGAAAAGAAAAATTGGAACATTTTAGCAGGTCATCTGATTTAGATGAATATTACATGCGACAAAACTATTCATCATTATTTGAGCAATTTCTCTACAATGACGATTACAAGGTGATTCTTTAATCATTCGATGTTTAGTCAATACAATTTTTATAACTATTGATATACGAAAGGTTGTATATTGTACCGTCTCAAAAGTTGCATGTTCTAAATGGAGGAAAGTTTTCTCGGTCATGTCAGGAAAAGTCAGACATTTTTTTGCGTTTGAAAGTATTTGAATATTATTAGTTGTGTTGGTTTTTCGACAGAGTTCAATTTTATTTATTAGAATTTTATTTATTTTCTCAATGAAAAGCTAAAATCGACAACAACAGATTAACACAAACGACCTTCTAGTTGATAGAGCTTCTAACAATTTAGCTGACGTGCACTTAAAAAGGATGTCCCGCTTGCAACCTGCCGACATCTGGCGACGATTGCAACCAGCAAGTGGATACTTCAAATTTTTTTTCACCAGGGATCCATTAGAACGTTTGTATTCAGTATTTAGTAGCGAGCTTCAAAGCAAATATCTATTTTCTGGAGAGAAAAATGGTTAATTTTATTTTCTACCATGCCAAAACATTTTAATTTTTAATAGTTTGATATAAATACCGGATGAACTACATATAAAACAATATCACAAACTCTATTACACTGATGATGGTAAAGTTACAAACTCAACAATGCGGTAAAAGGGGTGATACTTCTTAATAACTGTGTTTATATATATATATTTTTTTTACAATATTCTATAAATTCTACCGAATGTTTGGCGTTAATATGTTTGTAGTTCGTTTTTTCAATTTTTCTCACTAAAGTTTTTTGGTGAACGTTTAGTTTATTAAAATTCAAAATAAACTTATTTTCCGAATTCATGCTGCAAATAAGGCCATATTTCAATTCCGAATGAATCATCATCAGTGCTTTCTCCTGTTTATATAGGGAAATATTGATGGAAAACTTTAGATGGAAACACCTAATTTCCATCTAAGTTCACTTTAACAAAGTCAATCTCCATCTAAATTCATTTTGACAAAGTATATATATATATATATGTTGGTAATAGTTGTAAATATATATATATATATATATATATATATATACAATATTCTATAAATTATAAATTCATTCAAAGTGAATGTACCGAACAATTTAAAGACAGCACAATAAAATCATTTGTAAATCGGGCATTCACACGCTCTTCCGATATTGAAAATCGCGACGCTGAATTAAAAAGAGTCACTAACCTGCTTGTAAACAATGGATATAAGACTTACTCTATTGAAAAGATTGTTAAAGGCAAATTACTACACAACAATAACCTTCCTAATTCCAACAATCAAGATAATGACATCATCTTGTATTACAGAAATCACATGTCAACTGCATACAAAGTAGATGAAGCTATTCTTAAACATATCATCAATAAAAATTCACACCAACCAACCAACCCAAATAGTAAAGTTAAACTCTGAATTTATTACAACAATAAAAAGACGTCTAACCTAATACTAAAAAAACAACTGTAGTCCTAGA